TCTTCCAGGGGAAAACACATGTACAGTAAAGCATTGGTTTCCTCACAGAAGACATGGTTGGGGCTGAGGCGGCAAGTTGGAGGGTTAGGGGGCACTGGACTTTGACCAGAAAGTTGGTGCAGACTGGACTTGAATGGATGACAGTAGGGACAGCAGGGGTCTGGAGCGAGGCCAGAAAACAGCAAAAATGAGACTCCAGAGAACATGGGTCTCAAGAAGCCAAAGGGACCTCCTGTGGGAGTCAGGGCTCAGCAGGTGGACAGGGGAATGTGTTGATAGGGATGGTTAACCCAGGTGACTGCAGGTTCCAAGACGTGTATGTAGCAGACTGACTGCAAGAGACTGGGCTCAGTGAGTCCATATTGGCCCCGGGACTCTAGAATTGGCATGGGTGATGACTGGCTTGTCTTGAGAGGAAAAGGTGAACATCTCCTCCAGGAACTCCAGCTCCCAGGTAAGGAGAAGAGGACCAATTTCTACCTGTTCTGCTTGCTGCTGTGGTTTCAGTTTGAAGACCTACGGAGCACACGGTAGGCCCTCGGGGTTGTCCTTTGAATGGCATGCAGGAGGGACAGTAAGCCTCAAGGTGGGGGCTTTCTTACCACATGGACACAGAAACTGTATTGGTGTCCCACACAATACGGGACACCAGGACAAAAGGAAGAGAGGGGACTGTGCAGATGCCCAAGATTAGGAGAGGTCAAAGTAAGGATGTGGCCAGATGCTGAGGCTACTGCTAAAGATCTGAGACCTCTAAAGAGATGCAAGGGTGTAGTGTTGCAATTTAAGAAAAGCAGCACTCAAGAGAAAGATGCCATGCAACAGGGCCCAAGCAGAGATTATTATTATTATTATTATTATTATTATTATTATTATTATTACTGAAAGGGATCATTAAAAGGGGAAAGGGAAGGGAGGAGACCAGCCTTCAGAGACAGGAGCAGTAGGGAGACAGGAAAAGGAGAGAGGAAAGGGGGAAAGAGGGGAAAGAGGGGGAGAAAAGAAGAAAGAGTGGAGAGAGAAGGAGAGAGAGGGAGAGAGAGGGGAACAGACAGAGAGAGGGAGAGAAAGAAAGAGACAGAGGAGGAGGGGAGGTAGGCAGGGCACCTTTAAAAGGGAACATCACAGGTGGTGCTCTTAGTGGCTGCAGCTGAGGGTGTATCCTGTCAGAACCCCAAGGACAATACAGATACCTAAATACTACATGTAGGACGTAGGGTTTTGGACTTGGGGTTTTCATATTTATAGACAGCAATATGGCCTTGGATGAGGCAGGGAAAGCTGAGATTGCTAACCCTCAAGAGCCATCTCACCTGAGAACAGAGAGCAGGCATCAGCCATCCTCGGCTGTTCTGGGGAGTTGCAGAACTTCAAGTGGGAAGCTAACTATAAAATGGGATCCATGGCATAGAGGGTTAGCATAACCCTCCTTACACAGAAACCCCACATAGACGGCAGGTATGGTGGCCTATACCTCTCATGTCCACCCGTGTGGGAGGTTAAGACAGGAAGACGACTGAGTCTGTGGCTAGCCTGGGCTACAGAGTAAGACCCTCTTTTAAAAACAAAACAAGCAAACATAAAACTGAAAAATAAAAACAAAGAAAGAAACTCATATTTTAAAAAAAATAAATCAATACTTCCTCACTGAAGACAGAGTCACAATCAAACAAACAAGCACATAGAAAGCAAAGCAAAGCCAAAGCCATCATGAACCACACAAGAAGAGTAAGCTGCCGTAAACCAGTCTGCAGGTGAGACATGGCAGTGGCATAGACAACCTCAGATTTGAAAAGATTAAGAGAACATAGATAAAATTATAGAGTAAATAGGCTTAAGATAACTAAAAAGATACAAGAAAACACGGGGCACGGGAAGAATGCCGGAGGCAACAGGAAGACAGCCAGATCAGTTTCAAAACAAAACAAAACACTAAACAATTTTTCACCCTAGGAATGGGAAAATAAAAGTGTAACCTAAAGAAATCATAGTCACCATTTGAGTTTCATAGCAAGTTAGTGACAAAGAAAGAGGAGACTTGCAGGGCCACTTAAGGAGAAGCCTCCCAATTTGATGCCGGGAGGCCAAGGTAAGGTCAAACTTAGAGCCTTGGAAGATGGAGCAGAAGGACACACACAGATGAGGTGCACTCACAAAATGCTGTCTCCAGTTCTCTCTCTCTCTCTCTCTCTCTCTCTCTCTCTCTCTCTCTTTCTCTCTCTCCTCTTTCTTTCTTTCTTTGCACAAGATCTTCTGAGGTGGATAGATGCTGACTAACCTTTGTTAACAGGATATGGAAGCCCGTGAGGTAGACACTGACTGCCTGCCTATGTGACATCACAGCACACGGAGCCACAAGGCGAGATGAAAGACTACACAGAGTGGAAGTGGATACTTAGGTTGAGGGACACACATGCAGTAGGGGGAGAAAGCCTGGTGGTCAAAGGGTGTGGGGTAGAACAAGGCAGGTTTTTGGGAGGGGGAAGACACAGCCTTCCAATTCTCCAGGCCCTACACAAGCAGCTGTTCCCTGAGCAGGCCACTGTAGAGCCTATTGATGGGGAATGCCCTTCTGTGGATGTTTATCTTATTGGTTGTTAAATAAAGGACTGTTTGGCCAATAAAGCAGAAAGTTAGGCAGAACTAGTAATCGAGGAGGATTCTGGGAAATGTAGTAAAAAGAAGTTTTGTGATCCAGGCAGGAAGTGACATAGCAGGCAGACTCAGAATATAAGCAGGGACAAACAGAAATCGTTCTCTTCCTACTTCTCTCTTCTCTGGAGCTGCCATGTGAGCCCTACAAGGGAGGACGACTCATGCCCCCAGCGTACTCTATCAGATAAGTCTTTATAAATACATAGATTATGGCTATGGTTGATACTTAAGACAGAGCAAGAATATAAGGAATCCTAGTCATTGGCCAACAGCATTGTACCTAATTTAAGTCTCTGTGTATTATTTGGAGCCCTAACGAAGCAGGCAGAACTAGGGCAGAATTCAGGTGGCTGGTGGAAAGATTTATCGTTACAGCCTATCCTCGGGCTCAGGATGGGGTATGAGGATATGGGTCTTACGAAAGAAGCCAAGCAATTCTTGGGAGGTGTTGATGAAAGTTTCTGTCCTGCCAGCCTGGATGATGAACAAAACACTTTTTGGTCAATGAGGCAGGAAGATAGGCAGGACGAGGAGACGAGGAGAATTAGGGGAAAATGTAGGCAGACAAAGCCATGTAGAGCCTGGGAAGAGAGGATGTGCCGGGTGTTCTCCGGTAAGCCAAGACCATGTGGAAATACATACATTAATAGAAGTGGGTTAATAATTAAGATAGAGCTAGCCAGTAAGAAGCCCATGCCACAGGCTAACAGTTTTAAAGCCAATATAGCTTCTGTCCGTGCGTTCATTTGGGGCTGAACGGTGCCAGGACCATCAGGGACAAAGAATTTCTCATTACAAGGAGGTGTATGAGAACCAGGCCTGGCTTCGTCAATGGGATTGGCCCACCCCTACATTCTGGCTGTCCTGGAGCAGCTTGGAGGCCACACTGCAATAAGGATAGGGCATTCAGTATCCGAGTGCCTAACTCACAATTGTCACCTCCCATGCAAAACTGGGTCCTATCGCTCACCTGCTGTCGGCTTCCTAAATGGCTTACACACTCAAGCAAGATTCCAGGCTTTCTAATACTGGGTCATACTAATGACTGTGGCCTAAGCCTGGGTTGCTTACAATGGCTGGGTGCCACCATTGCTCCCTGAGGAAGAAACTGAACTGGAAGCAGAGGCCAGTGCACGAGCGTGTCCCCACCCGGAGACAGGCAGTGACATCTAAGCACCCAATTGTCCAGCTTCCACAATGCACTTGTTCTCCCTGACATGGCCATTACCTCCCACTTATGCATAGGTGGCTCTGGAAGCCCCGAGACATTTGGCTTATTTCTTCCACTTTACTGGCTGCTAAAGAAACATCCAACTACCAGAGTGCCCTCGGCCGATACCTGCTCTACTGATCCAGGATGGCCCACACTGGCTTTGACAACACAAAGAAGAGTGACATTTGTCAGGCTCTTAGCATGTCCTTTGAGAAGTTTCTATCAGTTATAGGCTGACTTCTCCTACACTCTGCTGTCAACAAGGAGGACACATCAGGCACTCAAGCCCTCTTAATCGCTACCTGGAAACCAGGCCTCTGAGAACGGCCATCAATTAAGCAGCCACAGACTCCAGGTGCCAAAGATCTGGCTGCGGAGTCCTCCAGTCTCTTGAGTGGCTCTACCAAGACAAGCCAGTGTCTAGCAGGGAACACTTACAAACAAGCACTCCTTAATACTTAATTAACTTTAATGGCAAGTGCTGTGACATCTGAAATCTCAGACATGAGAGCACAGATTGGTTTTGGCCCATGCTGACTTATGAGTGGCTACGTGCAGCTCCCGGGGGAAACTTCAGTCACTGTGACATGCACAGTTCATTACACTGTCACTCGGCCAAGAGAGTGGCCACCAGCAAGCACTGAGAAGACTTAGCATCTGGTCTGGTGGCAGGAAGGCAATGGCCGCACACCAAAGAGTTTGACAGCATCAAGTCAGTTCATGGATACATTCAGAGCTCTGTGCTTCTGTTCAAACATGCGTGTTTAAATAACAAAGACAGTGAATTACCAAGGAAAGAATGACTTCCTGGAATTTACTCATTTTCAATAATTTAGGGAATATAAGACATCATCTTTTCTGGCGTCTCCTATTTTGCTTAAGCGTGGCAGATTTTTCTTGGGGAGATACAAAACAATGATTTCAAGGACAACACAGTCACATTTGTCTACACCGTCAGTCAGCATCTGTAAACATTGGGAGGACTGATCTCCCACCACCTGAGCCGACAAAATACTACTTGGATTAGCCACACAATGAACCAAACTTATGTGCCGGGATTTCACCAGACTACTGGCACCACGGCACTAGACACGAGAGCATCCCTTGTGAGGATATGCCTGACACTACTCACCGGCCCAATTCCGCTCTGTAGGATCGTCAATCCTGATGTCTTCTCCAGCTGGTCTTTGTTGTCAACTGTGAAGAAAAAAATCAAAAGAAGGTGGTCAGTATAGAAAGGGCATTAGAGAGTAATCTCCTTTTCTGACAAGTTCCCCCAAACAACTGCTTGGGCAGCCTGACATAATGGAGGTGCTATGTTGAACAAGAGCTGGGTGCTGGGTACTGGGGGCCCTCTGTTGCACTCGGTTGCTGGTTTGCCCCAGCTAAAAGACCTCAAGAATTTTCTTTTAAATAAATGTATCTATCATCTATCTATATATCTGTCTGTCTGTGTCTGTCTGTCTATCATCTATCATCTATCTATATCTATCTATCATCTATCTATCTAGCATCTATCTATCTATCTATCTATCTGTCTGTCTGTCTATTATCTATCATCTATCTATCATCTATCTATCTGTCTGTCTGTGTCTGTCTATCATCTATCATCTATCTATATCTATCTATCATCTATCTATCTATCATCTATGTATCTATCTGTGTTGTGGAGATCCTGAAGCTTTGGGTCTGCAGGACCCGTTCCTTCACGTGCTCCAGCAGATCACAGATGGGGTGGAAGCTGGGTTAGGCCAACCTATAACCCTGGTTCTGGGTCTGGGTAGTTGGTCAGCCCACCAGCTCTCTCTTGTCTCCACCACCAGGGTGAGCTCTCCTGCCTTTCCCTGGAGAGTTCACCTCTTGCTGCAATGAGCAAGGGGCGAGGCCAGTTCTGCTTTCACATCCTCAGGGTCGACTCTCCCACTCCTGCACCTTCAGGGCCAGCTCTACTGTGTTGCCCAGGCGGGCGTGGTGTAGGGGCCACTCTCCCAAGTGCTGCAGCAGATGAGGGGCAAGGCCACCACCTCTCCCCACTCCTGTGACCACAGGGCCAGTTCTCCCACCAGACTCAGGCATTGGTGGGTGGTACTCAGGAGTGGGGGGGGCTGGGGGGGAGCATCTCTCTCCCACCCATGCTGCAAATGACTGGTGAGAAATGGGGACATTTCTTCCATGCTCACAATATCAGGCTGGCTGGCCCATACCTCCACCAATGCTGTTGTGCTGCCCACTCCCAGGGCCTGCTCTCCCAAGTGTTGTAGCTGGTGGGGGGCGGGCACAGCTCTCCTTCCCTTCTAACCTCAGGGCCAGGTCTCCCACCTGGGAGAGGTAGAATGGGAGGAAAGAGAACATCTCTCTCTTGTCCATGCTGCCACACAACAGATGAGTAATGTGGACAGCTCTCTCATGCTCACAACCTCGGGACTGTCATGCACTTTCTGTATTGTCTTTGAAAGCATGCAATTCCAGGCAGCCTCCAGTCACTGAAGATTTGATGGGAAATCGTATGTAAACAGACTTTACAAACCGTAAAGTATCATTTTAAAATGGTGTAAATGATATGTGTACACCCATTGAGAAATAACTCTTTGTTTAAACTAGCAATGAGCACACTTGGGAAGAGCAGGCCCATGTGCTCATATCACAGGTCCGTGTGCTCGTATCACAGGATCCACAGGTTATTTTACTCCCCTTTAATCCATGCCCCTATCAAAAACATCCTACAACAGTTTTGTCCCAACAAAAGCCTATCCTCATCTCTTTCTGACTTCACAGGAAGAAGACTTTCATTGGACAAACTCTATTTGATATCACGCCAGGAGAAATGAGATTGGGAAACAATTAGCAGATGCAAATGAAGCCTCAGCAGTTGTAATGCCTGGGCGGCAGACCCAGCAGACCCCACTTCCCAGAGAGGACGAGTGTCACCAGGCAATTGACCTTGGCTTATGATTCGGTAGAAATATTCTTTTGGAGAAAGCTCATGTCATTTGGAAATACAGGAAAAAAAAAGAGCCTGGAATTTCACCGAAAGCCCTTTGAGTGAACAGGGCACTACAATTGTGATTAGTCCAGAATAAGATGGCAAGAAGAAAGCAGTTGCTTTCACCTCTCATTGTAATACACCTGCATGAGTCTTGAGTAATGAAATTACATCTTTTGGAGGGATACAAATGAGATCACATTACAGCCTTCCTGCCTTCTCTACCCCGCAGGGCCTTCTGTTACCTTATAGAAAAAAAAATCCCCCTTTTAACAAATGGACATTGCTTTTTACACATAGATAATTACCACTGTACTACGAGAGCAAGGTGGACATAAAGCAATCCAGGGAGGGCTGGAGTACTTTAGGGTCCTCTCAGGTAGTGGGGAGATGAGGGATGCAGGCAATGGCACCCAGGTTTAGCACTTGGATAGCAAGAGACTGTTTCTTGAGGTATAAAGTGATCAGTTTTCATAGTCTCTTGTACTGCCTGGTGGCTATTAGTGGGCTAACAACAGCTCTCCAAATAGGCTGACCAAGGGCTTAAAGGTGGAATCTATAAACACTCCAGTTCTTGCTAGAAAGCAGAGATTCCAGACTGAGAGATTTGTATAAAAAGCAGCCAGCCAATATGTAATTAAATTGAACAATCCAACCCAGTGTCAACAAGCTCTTCCAAGAAAGGCAAGAGAGTATCTTAGGCCCGGTGAGTAGTGTCTCTGGGGCTCCTTGGTGTCGCCTTGGCATGGAAAGTCAGCCCAGAGCTATCTGGGTGGCTGCTCCAGTGAGAGTATAGTTACAGAAGCAGTCCTGATGAGAAGGTAATTCCTCCAAACTTCTGGAAGGGCATTGACTGACCTTTTAGACCACAAGTATGACCTGTAAGGCTGTAAGAAGTAGGGCCACCATCACCCCTGTGGCCTGGAGATGTTGTCCTGGGAAACCACAGATAAATGTTCTTGGGTGAGAGCTCTAGGTATGAAGGCATACCTAGATGAATACGGGAATTCTTTAACTCAGCCAATCTAGAAATTTCCATTTGATGTGTACGCAAGAGTGGCTTTTGATAAATAAATAAGCTGGAACAAGTTCAGCCAACAATACAAACAACTACAAACCATTACACAGCATTTGCTACGGCTTGCTTGGTTGGCAGCATGGCCTCTCGGTGTCTCGCCCACCACTGCTGGGCAAAGCATTTTCAGTACAGAAGACCACATGTGCTTAGACTCTGAGGGCAGAGACACACAACGCACCATGCCTGTTCCCGGCAGAGACCCTGCTTTGCCACTCAAAGCTCAGTACTTTTCTAATTGCCTGACCAGCATACCGCTGTGGTTTGGGCATGCTTCCCACCACTCTGTGTATAGTCTGGCCAGTCCATGACCATTGACAGGTGAGATCTCAAGAGTGCAGAGCCAGGGTGAGATGTAGCTCAGTTAGTAGGGTGCTTGCCTGGCGTGCAGCAAACTATTGGATGCAGCAAGAGGATCAGGAGTTCACAGTCATCCTCTCTGCTACATACCAAAACTTGAGGTCGGTCTGGGCTACAAGAGAGCCTGCCCCCCCCCAAAAAAAAAAGAGAAGAAAGAAAGAAAAAAGGAAGGAAGGAAGGAAGGAAAGAAGGAAAGAAGGAAAGAAGGAAGGACATGGTTCATTCTCAAACCAACCTAAGATCTAACCTAAGTGTATGCTGGAATCTAAACAACAAAGTCAATAAGCAATAATAAAGCATCCACTGAGCACTTGCTTCAGGTGAGTTCGCAGCTTGTCTTGCTGAAGCCTTGTAGCCACCCAGACTGCAGGCTCCCATGTGTACTCTGGAAATGGAACAGACAGTTCCCAGCCAGTGTATTACTGAAGAAAGAGGCTGTGTCTCTGAGCTCTGGAGCCTGAGCCATTGTCATCCATGGCCTCTGTCCTTAGGGTCTGTGGAGCAACACCCTCACTGGTCTACCTGATAGATAAGACATAGTCCACTCTAGAGGTTGGCCATTGAGACCTGAATGAAGAAGTAAGTGGGTCACTCATCAAAATTTGAGGGAAAGTAGGGAGCAGTTGAATAGCCAGTTAGCCTGGATCAACTGTAGAGCTGTGTAGAGGAGAGGCCTTGGTGAAGGGAGTAGACTGTCAAGTGTGTATATGTAGGAGGGGTGCAGGTAGAAGGGCTGGAGCCACAAAGTGTAAGGTACGGGAACCAGGTAGCAGAGGTGAGGCTACCAGGTGGAAGGGGTGGGGCTCCAGTAGGAGGGGGTGAAGCTCCAGGTAGAGGGGTCTGGGGACTGTTTCACCACCCAGCACAGTCTTTAGTTTCTCACAAGTGCCCTGGGGTCACTTGGGAATGAGGCCTTGACCCTTTCAACAGATGGACACAGTTCAGAGCCTTATGGTCTGCAGGGATTGGCTGTTTCTGGATCATGGCACCGCCCTCTGTCTCACCAAGCCAGCTGAAGCCTTTATGGAATCCCACGTGTATGCTATCTTGACTCTCACATCTGAACTCCTTGTACCAATGACCAGTGGCCCAGTGTCCTGGAACCTCTGGTGTTTATTGATTGCCCTGCTGTGCTGACTTGCCTCTGTTTCCACCCTCAGGACACAGGGCTTACCTAGAATTCCTTCTAGCACTTGGCATCTCTGGCAGCGCCTCCCCATCCTTCTACCAGCGTCTTGCCACCCCATGTCTTAAAACCCTAGGTACGGCTGTTCCCAGGATACTTTCCCTAAACTATGGAGTCAGTCACATCTATGCTTTGTGAACAGCCCTCTAGTCAGTCCACCAACCACGACTCAGCTCTCAGTACAGGGAGGGTCTCCCATCTTGCAACCTTCGTAAGAAACTTCTTTTTTATATACGGGTCTGATGCGGGAGGTCCTTCTGTGGATATGTTTGTCTTATTGTTTGATAAATAAAGCACTGTTGGCCAATAGGGAAGCAAGGTAGGTGGGGTTAGAAGTCAAGGAGGATTCTGGGACATGTAGTAAAAAGGAGAGTCACCATGTGATCCCGGGGAAGAGAGGACACATGCCATTTTGCGTCCTCAAAAAGTCTTTATATAATACATAGATTAATGGTTATGGTTGATACTTAAGACAGAGCTAGCAAATAAGAAATCCTAGTCATTGGCCAGCAGCATTGTAACTAATATTAATCTCTGTGTGTTATTTGGGGACCCTAACATAGCAGCAGAACTCAGGCAGCTGGCGGGCGGCT